CCCCCCCCCCCCCCCCCCCTTATTCTCTGTTAGCCAAACCCAAACCTGAAAAACAGGTTGACAAATTAAATGGGATGTTTTGTCTCCCATTGTCTAATACATAGAAAACGCAGATCTCCCAGATGCCTGTGTGAGAGCAGATGATTTCACATAGCCCTAGCTGAGAATGTGTCCTTCTCCAATCAAGTATTTATCCACTGGACACAAAAGTAACTCTCCAATGAGCAATGTTAATCCTCACAAACCTTTCCTTAGAAATGGCATCCTGGAAAGTTAATAATGTCATGGTTATTAAAATGACTGAACTGCTCCTTAATCATTAGGCCAAAGATGCTTATTAAAGTAAAAGGTGATTAGATTGCTAGGTGCATAATAATCAGGCCCTAAAATGAATTAAAGTCTAATTTGTTAATTCCCCAAACATGATCTTTGAGTATATAAAAATTGCAGAGTGTTTCTTCATGCTGAAGTCCCTATAATAATATATTAACATTTTCTGGAAGAAAAATCAGTAGTCTGGTGAAATAAAGTATGATGAGTTCAAAAAGTTGTTTTTCACAACAAAAATTGTGCTTAACTCTTCACCCTTTGCCACTGTGATTGATATTTTCTAGTACAACACACTAACAAACACAGTATCACCAGACTGTGTATTCAGAGTTTGACAAATAATCCATTTGGTCTACACAAGCAGATACTTACTTGTATGTATTTACCAAAAAAGAGAGATTTCTGCATGCACATACAGACACACTAGTACACAGAGAAAGAACACTGATGTTTTCTGGGGGAAACATAAAAGACATGGCAAAGATTATACTTAATATTATCTCCAGAGCTTCAAAATGTTCAGATGTGCAGCTGGAATCTGCACTATATTTAGCTTGAGATATTTTTGTGATATTTGCATTTACACTGTTTGGCTGCCACAATGGTGTGGGCAGTGGTACCTCCCTGCAACTAACGCTTCAGGAGAAGATGTGGCCCTGCTGTGAAGGGGAGGGTGTGCATCAGTTGGTGTGGCTGCAGCAGGTGAGCACATGGGGGATCAAGAGATGCCAGAAGGGCACAAAGTCTCTATGTGCCTGATTCCTGGAAATTTGGAAGCATATTCTGAATTTGCAACCCTGAATTAAAACTCAAACACATTTATGTGCTTTTGTGGCACTTGATTTAGGCAGTGCACACAAATGTAAGACAGCCTCTTCCTTCCTGCAGTTGCTTTAGGTATTCAGAGAAACATGGGGTAATAGTTGAACCTGTTAACTAGCTTGGCAGCTG